CCAAGATTATCTTCTGTGTCTGTGTTAATTGGTTTCTCTTTTCTTTGTTGAAGAGGGTCTGTGCAATCCTTCTGCCTAGTCCACCATCTTGCCGGAACTCAAGCTGTACAGCTTTATCAGTGAAAGAACAGCTCTTACCATAAAGAACTTTTGGGTGTTTTTGAATGGAGGCAGGACTGAGTTATTAAATAATTAAATTCAAGGGCTTTGGGATACCAGAGGTCTGGATTTCTGTACAGGCCTGTTACTTACACCTGTTTGACCTTGGGCAATTCAATTTCCCTCCTCCACCCTTGTTTTCCTCTGTAAAAAATGAGTATAATATTGGTTTCTATCTCATCAGGTCAAAAAGATGATAAAATAAGATCATGGATCTAGAGTTCTTAGCACAGCACTTGGTACACAGGAAGCACTTAGAACATCTTTGTAGTTGGTTATTTCGTAACCCTCCTTGTCTCAGCCATTCCTGTGCATCACCTAAACCCTACATTTCCTCTCCCACTTGTAGGGTATTTGCCAACTTCTCCACCCCACAGCAGAGTCAGATCTGCAGTCACTTCTAAAATACATACTGTATGTCCCGAAGTGCTTACTTTAGTGATTTGAGGCACTCTGAGGTTGTTTTTTTTTTTTTTTTTAAGTCCATTGTCATTCTGTACATGATTATAATAGTAATAGCTGGTGTTTGTGTAGTACTTTATAGCTTACAGAGCATCTTCACATGCAGTTTTATTTGCTCCTCAAAACAACTCTGTAAGACAGATATTTGATTCCCATCTCCTGTCTGAGGTAAATGAGGTTCAGAGAGATTGAGAGACTTAGTCAGATATTGTGATGTTCAGATTTGTGATCCTAGGTTGGGCCTTGCACAGAGGATCAGTCCCAGCTTGGGAGATGTGCTTTAACCTATTTCTCTGGAAGACCTCTGAACTCTCATTTCCTGAAGCTCTTCCTTTGCATTGGATTCCAAGCTAAGGACTTTACTTTTCCTGCCCACTTTTTCTGAAGCAAGCGATTTTTCATTCATGACCCAGGGGGAGTTTCCGATTTCAATTCAGTTAATATTTATTGGAAGTCCACAGGGCCCATATTTCCCTACCTGATCTCATGAAGCTGCAAAAGACAGTGGAGGCCAGATCACTGCCTCCAGGCCTCATTATCTTGTCTAGACAAGATAAACATCCACACACAGGTAAGTATTTACAAGGTTAACTAGTGAAATAAACTTAAAAGTATTCCCATTCAGGAGATAGATGGGGATGGTGGCTCTTCCTGTCATACTAGGACTTATCTGTTCCCTGTTTCTTTAAAACTCTATAATATAAAAAGCACGACCCTTTTAAGAGTTCACTGGCCCTCATTTGAAGACTGGGATGATAATCCCTCTGTCTTAATTTCCTAGTGCTGCTATAGCACCAGTACCACATGTGGGTGACTTTAAAGAACAGACATTTATTTTTTTCTTAGAGTTCTTGAGGCTAAAAGTCCAAATTAGCATATTTCAAAACAAAAAACAAAGCAAAAAACCAAATTCACTGTCATCGAGTGGATTCCAACTCATAGCTAACCCCTTTGGGTTTCTGAAGCAGTAAATCTTTATGGAAGTAGATTGCCCAGTCTTCTTTCCACGGAGTGTCTGGTGGGTTTGAATTGGCAACCTTCTGGTTAGCAGTCACATGCCTTAGACACTATGCCACCAAAGCTTGTGTTGATTCCTCCCTTGTTGATAGACTGTTTCTTGATTCCTTGGCTTGTAGGTAGTCCTCACACAACATCTGTCTTCTCCCCCATATATGCTTGGTTCTGTGTCTAATCAACTCTTTTTATAACTCAGAAGTGATGAGGGTTAGAACACACCTTACACGAACATACCTCATGAACATAACAAGGAAAACCCTATTTCCAAAGGGGATTGCATTCACATGTATAGGGGTTAGGATTCCAACACATGTTTTGGTGGGGGAAAGAGGGACACACAATTTAATCCATAGCACCTTCTGAGCCATGAACTCTGAAAGGCAAATTCCACATGTTCCTTCTCTTGATATTTTCAGCATCTAATAAATCTAAGGGAGCTCTGGTAGCATAGTGCCTAAGGCACTTGACTGCTAACCAGAAGGCTGGGGTTCAAACCCACAAGCCACTCCTTGGAAGGAAGATTGGGAAATCTACTTCCATAGTGATACTGTGTCGGAAACCCAACGAGGGCTCGCTATGGTCGGGTCCAACTCGACAGCACATAACAACAACAACAATAAATCTAAGTCTCTCAGACTTTACTTGTCTCCTGATTCCATTATCTCATGCAATTCCAACTTGTGGTACCTAAGCAATCATTGCTTAATACCTGTATGGTACCTGGAGGATGTTAAAGAACATCCTGGTGACCGTTCTCTCCTGGAAGCCCTGCTTTAAGGCATGCTGGGATTTTGCCAGTTCCTCTGCATGGAGGCAGTCTGACTCCTGCTCAGTGTGCTGGCCCTCAGCTTTCCGACATGAACTTTAAATGAGGTGAAAAGGTGTGCATGGAATTGAGTAAGCTTCCCCCAATCTTTTCTTGTTCCCAGGTTCCTATGCGGGAGCAGTGGTTGCCATGCCCCTGGCTGGGGTATTGGTACAGTACATTGGATGGTCCTCTGTCTTTTATATTTATGGTGAGTGATTTGATTTCTTGACTTTACATGAGTGACTCATAGAGATGTATTTTACTGTATCATGGGTTTGGCTAAGATTTTCCTATATGAAAATAGAAAAGTTTACCAGACAAATGGAATGTATGTCTACCTATATCTCATTTAATGTTTGTTTTTTTTAATTAGACTTTTTTATCATGAGCACAACATTATTTTTCTTTAAGTAACAGCAACAACAGTAAGAAAAATCAAAATATTTTCTCTTAGCTGAACATAATGTCATTTAGGAATATTTTTAAAATGGAAAAGTTTAGAGATGGAGCAAAATGCAACTATATAATCTAGCCTTTTGTTTTTTAACTGCAGGTATGTTTGGGATTATTTGGTACATGTTTTGGCTGTTGCAGGCCTATGAGTGCCCAGCAGCTCATCCGACGATATCCAATGAGGAGAGGGCCTATATAGAGACAAGTATAGGGGAAGGAGCCAATATAGCCAGTCTAAGTGTAAGTATAAATGGACAGAGGAAACCTTCTCCTTTTCTATCAGCATTTCTCTTAGTGACTGTGTTGACTTCCTGAAAAATATGATGTCAGTATCTCCAATAAAAATCTCATGGTATTTTTTTTTTGTTCTCTAGAAATTTAATACACCATGGAAAAGATTTTTCACATCACTACCAGTTTATGCAATCATTGTGGCCAATTTCTGCAGAAGCTGGACATTTTATTTGCTGTTAATAAGCCAGCCTGCTTATTTTGAAGAGGTCTTTGGATTTGCAATAAGTAAGGTAAACACATAGGCACTGCAAATATTCTTGAACTTTAAATCTCTTAATTCTATTGAGAATATCTTTGCATGATAAAGCACTTAATTTACTCATCATAATTCAAAACAGTATGGTGACACCTAATACCCTGGAGGATAGTCAAGTTCTAAATTCTGTGCATAGTATACATAGCTATTGAATTTCATCTTAGTAGGGATCAGAGCTGTATTAAGCTGCTTTTAAAGATTTATGGTTTTGAAGCTAACTCAAAGACAGCACAGGTAATAAGATTGAGTCCTATTTTTTTTTCATTCCATCTCATAAACTACTAGGTGAGGAGTGTTGAGTGTCTTTGCAGACAATTCCTTTCTCCATAATGATGATTACAACCACCACCACCATTGCTTGGTATGGTTTGGAAAGAGCCTCTGTCAATGTTCCCAAACCTGAATCCTAGCTCTTATTGGTACATTACTTTGTTTCAAGGGGGAAGGATGTGGATGGTGAAACATAAACCATCACTATAGAGAATTGTCTCCTTCCTACAAGGAAAAGATAGCAGCCTAGCAGAGGTAGATGTCTATATTGGTACAGATGCTGTCAGAAGTGACCATGGAAGGGCTGCCATCAACCAGCACTCACTCTGTGCCAAATGTTTTATCTGCTTACTATGTGCCTGGCCCTCTGCTGGATGATAGGGCCTTTTGACCATTTTTCCGAGATGAATAAAATTCACCTCTGCCCTCAGGGAGCTTCCATTTTGACGAAGAAGATGGGTGGGAGTCTGACTCACGGCAACCCTGTGTGTTACAGAGTAGAACTGAGCTCCATAGGGCTTTCCTGGCTGCAACTTGTGGAAGCAGATTACCAGGCCTTCCTTCTGTGATGCCACTGGTGGGTTCATACCACCACCATTTCTACTGGTAGTTGAGTGCAAACTGTACCATGCAGGGAGGAGCAACATAGGCATACTTAAATTCCCTGATTTGTAAAGTTGTTCATTCATTATTTATGATATTCAGAGCTACCTGGATCCTACATAAGTAGCTGAGTAAATCTGGTGAAGGTAGTGGGGGCAGTTGGGGGGGGGGAGGAGGAATAGGGGAGTACATCTCTGAGAAGTATTGAAAGAACAGTTCATTGGTTCTTCTCATTCCAGGTGGGTCTCTTGTCAGCGGTCCCTCACATGGTTATGACAATCATTGTTCCTATTGGAGGACAGTTGGCTGATTATTTAAGAAGCAGAAAAATTTTGACCACGACAGCTGTCAGGAAAATCATGAACTGTGGAGGTACTGTGGCTTTCTGAGGTGGAATGAGCTTTGGTGGAATAAGAGCAAGTTAAGTTGAACTACAAAGCATACTTCGGAGGCTATTCTAATCATTGGAATGGACCTCAGGCCCCTAAGTCCATCCCCTAGCAGATCCTTGACCCCATGACCTTGCCTGCCAAGCATCACTAGCCTGTTCTTGTGCAGCCTGAGCCATGGCAATGTCGCTGATGGCTGATAAACTAGCACACATCTATACAACAGAAATACTTCTTCGGCTGCTGTCAGACCAAAGCGACCTGCTTTCCAGCTACGGATCCATTGACCGATGATCCTCTCCACACATCTCTCTACATGTATTTTTTTTTTTTTCCTTATGTAGTTTATTCCCTTATCTCCTTCATCCCTTTTTACATATACATATGTTTTAGGAAGAAACATAAGAAAAGTATTTTCTCTAAATAGCCTTTTCCCTCCCAACATATGCTTATGCATGGGGTACACACACAGACATACACACACTTACACACACATACCATACATACACACACATACTCTCTCTCTCTCACACACACACATATACACAGACCATCTTTTTTTTCTGGCTTGATTACATGTGTGTGTCTTGATTTTGCAAGATAAAGTAGAAATTAGGTGATTTCCCAACAGAGGTGGAAGAATGTAACCATGAACCCCTACAACTTTCATAATAGCATAGCTTTCAGCCTCTTTACTTTCTCCTTAAGGAGTTCCCTGTGTGGTGCAAATGGTTAGTAGCTCTTGGCTACTAATCTAAAGGTTGGTGGTTCAAATCCACCCAGAGTTGTCTTAGAAGAAAGACCTGGCAATCTACTTCTAAAGGATCAAAGCCAGTCAAAGCCTTGTAGAATGCAGTTGCACTCTGAAACTCATGGGGTAGCCATGAGTCAGAATCTATTCAACAGTAACTGGTGTGGTACAGTCTCATTATTATTATTATTTTTAAAGGAGTTTTAGAGTTTCAATTTCTTTTTTAGACTTTAAATTTTCTGGTTTTAGACCAGGGTTAGGTTTACAGAAAAATTATGCAGAAAGTATAGAGTTCTCATTACCATCATTGCCCTGAACATGTTTCTCTTATTGCATTGACCATTCCTATGATACACTGTTAAAACTGATGAACCAACATTGATACGTTATTATTCACTGAAGCCCACAGTTTGCCTAGGATTCATTCTATAGGACTAGAAGGACTAGAGGTTGTATAGTCCTATGGGTTTTGATAAATTTTGTTTTGCTACTTAAATTGGCAGGTACTGAAATCTTTCTGTGCTAGACACTAAGCTAAGTCCTTTGTATACACAATCTCATTCATCCTTTATTACAACTCTGTGACACAGGTACTGTTATCATACCCAGTGAGGAAAATGAGGTAAAATACCTTGGTCAAGTGGCAGAGCCTGTGCTAGGTCTGGGTCAGTCTGAGCCCATTGCCAAGGTTCTCAGTCATTCTTTGAGCCTACCTTTATACGTTCAGCTGCTAACTGAAAGGCTGGTGTTTCAAACCTACCCAGAAACTCTGTGGGAGAAAGACCTAATGATCTGCTTCCATAAAGATTGTTGTTGTTGTTGTTAAGTGCCGTCGAGTCAAATCCGACTCATAGCGACCCCATGCACAGCAGAACAAAACACTGCCCCATCCTGCACCAGCCCCACAATCCCTGCTATACTTGAGCCCATCATTGCA